CAACAATGAAAGCCATTGAAACACTCCCGACCTCTTAAAGCCACACTGCCAACTTCATATAGGGACATTCAACATCAGGACCCTCTACCAAATCGGACAACAGACACCACTGGCGAGAACTCTAGCATCTCGAGCCGTGGAAGCTGTTTTTGTTTCGGAGACACGCATACACGACTCGAATGTGATTATTCACTTAAACCTACCCAGACACAGAGGTGAATCTGCAAATTTTAACTTAAGGTTGTCACCAGACTCCTCAGGTAGCTCGCAAGGACTCGCAAGTATAGCGATTGCAGTGAGTGTTAGTGCATAAAAATCCCCTCTTGACTGGATCCCAGTAGATAGTCGTATGTGTGCGGTGAGTCTAGACGAGTCCGTTAGGAAAAGGAAGGAGGGCGTTACCCGTTGTTGCCTTTTCACAGTCTCCGCTTACGCCCCAACATACTGCATTTCAGATGAACTAAAGAATGATCTTTACCAGAAACTGCCTAGTTTGCTGCAAAAAGCAAAAGGTTCAGATAAAGTTGTTTTAGCAGGCAACTTCAGTGCCCGAGTAGGGAAGTTATCCCACACTGAGAAGTATGTAAGTGGTACGTACGGAGTTCCCTGCTGACGAACCGACAACGGTGATCGTCTTCTAAAGTTCTGTTCAGATAATCATCTATTCCTAGTCAGCACGAACTTTAGGCACAAAGAGAGACAACGTGTAACCTGGCGACCTCCATCACCAAATCAATGCTGGACTCAGATAGACCACACAGCCATAGGGTATCGTTGGCGAGAGTCAGTAGAAGACTGCTGCTCTTATTGGAACACGTGCGTAGACTCTGATCACGCTCCGCTTCGCGCAGGTTTATGCTTACGATTAAACGAACATGAAAAATTGTTGGTAGCAAAGCAATTACGCACTCACTACCAGATCGAGACTCTGAGTCCCATTTAAGCGAGAAATAGCGAAACGAGGATCTCAGATCGACAACAAGGCTCCTCCTGAAGAAGACCGCCACTGCATGCAGTTAGCTGTAGACACAGCTGCAAGGGTAGTTAATGACCCAAAACCATGAGTAAGTAAGAGCTGTTGGATTTCTACCGCCTCGTACGAACTGATTGACTCAAAAAGACTGATTCCGACGAGCTCCGATTATGATGGAAAGCGAAAGCTACTCAAAAGCAAACTAACAAGAAGACTTCGTAACGACCGTCAACAGTGTAGTCGACAGAAGAGTTGGAGATAGCATCGGCAGTTGGCAGCACCAGACAATTATTTAGACTTATCTGGGAAACAAGTGGCAAAAGACAAATGACAAGTATGACAATCTCCGAGAAAACAGCACCATAATTAGCTCTTAGCATAAACGACCGGAATGTTAGAAAGAACATTTTGAGGAGCGATTTAATTGGCTTACAGTAAAGCTAAATTTGCCCAACACCTCCCTGAAAAGGATATAAAAATAAGTGCTCCGTGACTGACTGACTCACTGAATGACTGAGGTTACACAAGCTGTCACTAATCTCAAACGAGGCAAAGTTGCAGTACCTGATGGAATCACTCAAGAAGTGTTTAAAGACGGAGGAGACAGTTTATTCTATGCGTTAACTAAGATACTAGGCAGCTTCTGGGAATCAGAGACAGTCCAGTCGACCTGGTGTAAGTCATAAATTATCCCGATATACAAGAAGGCAGACAAGTCTCCCTGTGATGATAACAGGGAGATTAGCTTGACCAATTCGGTATCTACAGTTATGGGCTCAATAATAATCTTAAGACCAAGCGGTCAACGAGAGGAACAAACACGAGAAAACAAGGTAGACTATAGACCAGAAAGAGGGTGTATTGACCATATATTCACCCTCCGACGGATTCTAGAACGGGACATACACATACTTACTGGCCTACAACAATCATTATATTTATTCACCTGACAGTGCAATCTCACCCCATCCACCGAGATGTACTATGGCGATGTTTGGCTGTGAATGAGGGAATACCGAGACAATACATCGCATTGATCAACGCACTCACTCTACTCGAACTCATGCAGTCAGTCAGGCGACAGCCTCCGAAGAGTTGTCATCTGAAGTGGTGACAACCACTGGTGTCCGTCAGGGATGCCCACTGTCCCCATTTCTCTTCAATTTCATCATTGATGAACTACTAATGGACTCAACCCCAATTGACTTCAGCGACTCAGGCACTGACATGTCACCATCAAGAAATAATCTCGTTGACTTAGAATATGCAAATAATATAATGCGTCGGTGGCACAGTGGTTGGGACTTTCGCCGACCAAGCACATGGTCCGAGGTTCGATCCCCTGCCGACGCACAACTGATATCTATGGTCGGCCTCCAAAATTTGGGCTACCGATGTCCATGCTGAAAATTCCATACTTGTACCAAAAATACGGTGTGGCATCAAGCTGCAATCAAAAATATAAAAAAAAATTAAACAAAAATATAGTCCTACTCCTATCCTAGGTGAAGATGCTGACAAAATTCAGTCTTCCGAACACCTTGAGCAGCGATCTGCGCATGTCTGGCATGCGATTCGCTCCCGTCAAGTTGATGCAAGATTATGCTACAGGACTACAATACAATGACTGTTACGTTAGAGATAGCGAGTCAAGCGGTTCATGGAGAGTGATGAACACTCCACTCATTTGGGAAGTTGCATCAGCCAACGTCAGCTGATGGAACGCTGACCAAATCTCACCTCGGATACAAAAGGCTCGTTCGGCATTCGCCAACATACGCCATCTCTCACGTAGACTTGACATTCGGCTACCGACCAAAGACCGTGTGTACTGATCAACAGTTCGCTCCGTCCTCATTTATGGCTGTGAGACCTGGCCATTGAAAGTGGAAGAAGAAGTGGAGAAGCTGGCCAGCTGTCTTTGATGATAGGTGCCTGAATTCGATCTCCCGTGTGAAGTGGTATAATAAGGTAGGCCATATTGAGGTTAGGCATCGGTCTATTGCTGGGTAAGGAGGGGAAATCAATCGATGAGGTTGTGAAGTTACACCGATTGAGATGGTTAGGACGTGTGTTACTCATGCCTAGCCTTCGATCGCCTTCCTAGACAATCGGAAATGTTAGCTGACATAGGATGAATCAGGTTGGAAAAGAGTCAAATTAGTGCTAGTCAAACCAAAACATGCCTTCATCAGTCAATGAAATCCACAGCAGTTAGTTTAAGCCAGTCACGTAGGGAGGTGTAGACTGGCTGGTTGGTCGGGGTCCTCGAGATGATGAAAACCAATGACAGTTGGTGACAATAGGTGATATGACTCGAAATCGTTCTCAGTGGCGCAGATCCATTCACTCCCTGTGTTTTATAATATCCAATAAAATTCTACTGTTCTTCCACATTCTTATTATTATTATTATTTTTGCCTCATATTTCTGTCTCTTATATCTCTGGTTAATCTCTCTTCTCTGGTTTTCTGTGCCACATGGAATGTGGCGACTCGAACTGCTTCACATCTGTGCAAAGTCCTACGTTGAAGCCAGTCAGTCAGTCAGCCATACATTCCCATGCATTACAGTCCCCTTGAATTTTTTCTCCACTTTTTTCGTAATATGAAGTGTGTATACCTGAACTACTTTACTCTCGTGCAAATCTCTATGCTGAAGACTCAAGATTTGTTCATTCCATGAAATCTGCCACTCAATCTATAACCTATTTGGTGGACTGATGCCTAACTATGATTATAATCACAAATATTTTTTCAGAACTCACACTTTTAAAAGCCATGTACATACAGTTGTACAGTTATATATGAATAGAATTTGGTCACCACGGTAGAGCATAATTGCACTCTAAAATAAATTATTCCACATAACACAGTGGTGATGTTTCACGCACAATTCAATCCTCAAGGGCATATGAAAGACCTCAGGTAACTTTCCTCATTTAACCCAAATAATGAAATGAAACGAAGCTAAGAAGCACTGCTACTGAGTAACTCGATAAAATTCGTTAGCAAGTTCCAAAAGTTGACAATAATACAAAAATTAGTAATGAAACTGCTGACTATAACATATTTAAGGAAGAATTTAACGTATCTAGTGTTGTCATATGACGAAGTCATAAATGCAGTCCAATGTAGGATTCTTAACGAAGCAGGAACTCAGATGGCATCCAAACCTACAAAATTACTCAGAGACAAACTCTGTGGGCTAAACAACCCCAATGACCCGGTCAGACAAGATAGCCTAGTCTACAATATATCTTCCAATAACTGTGAGGCCAACTACATGGGTTAATTCAGCACAGTCGCACCACTCAGGCTATCGGAACAGGAATTTAGTTGAATTTAAAGTGTTTGGCCACAGAAAGATGATTTAACAATCGCGATGCATACACTTCTACAGCATAGACTGAGACAGAGCTTCAGTTCTAAAAAAATAAAAAAAAGTTAGGTCGATGAATGGTTGATCACCGATTTTCCGTTTGTCCTGTGTGTACACCCAACATCAGAAATAGGAGCGATGCAACAACAATACTAGACATGTAGACAATATTACTACCAATAAGATCAAAGGATAGGTAGTGGGACTATCCAAAAAAAGTTTGGTAGTTAAGTGCCTTGATATGATTATGAGCAACAAATTTTTTGGAACGTCATCAGTAAATACTAACGTATCAATACGTTTTATCAAATAGAATTATTGAGTGATGGTACGATTATACAGCTTGATGGTAAATTCATTGAAAAGAGACTTACTTAGAGTTTTATTCGCCACATATCCTAATGAGAATTGTCAATGCAGTGAAAAGCCAATCATCACGAGTATACTAATTGCTACTAACAGACACAATGAACAGCATAAGTAATACCTGCCAGTGGCAAAACTAATTACAACAAGTCCTAATTTTAATAAGTATCTCAAGAAAAATAAAGTAATTTTGAAGTACAATATTTTTGTGAACGATACATCAGGCAACTTTTCAATCACATTATCAAAAATAAAAGGATGTCAAAATAATTTATATATATATATATATATATATATATATATGCTTAACATTTCCTTTTTAACAAATAACTAAGTTGGTTCCTGTTTGACATTCGGGGGGGAAGAATGCCTTTGCTTCGATTGATAGCTCTGTCCACATTTCAACAAGGCTTTGCTTAACAAAGCAGGAGTAGTAATTTCAGAATCAGAACTATTACGTTTTACAAAACATTTAGATTCTGGTGTTTCAAAAGCTCCTGGTGATGGGGCTTCAACTTTTGAAATTTTACGCTTTTTTGATTTCGGTGTTACAGAGTCACATGAACTATCCACATTGTTGATTGGATCAGAAGAATTTCCATCAATTGATGTATTGTTATTTTCAAAGCTTCCATCAACATCCAACTTTTTAATTACTGGTTTCACATCAACTGATTCAGCAATAGTAGACTTTTCGTAACGATTTCCGTGTTTTTTAGAGTACTTCGATAATGGTTGAGAAAGGCATCTAATAAATTCACCTTGTAGAACTGATGATCCGAAATTGTGATTAACTTGAGTTAGCTTTACTTTTATTCTATCGAAAGGCTTTAACATAGATGGACTAAAATCTTGTTCTTCTTCCTTTTTTATTAATTTAGAAGATAAACGTGGGAGACTAATCATTACATTGGAAATTTCTGTTCGACAAAGAATAAATTGTGGTTTAACCATTGAAACGATAGCGTCCACCTCTAGACCCAAGTTTGGTCGAAAAACATTAACGTTTAACTTTGCATGTACACGAAGGTGATTTAATTCAGGATTTAGAAGAAAGAGACCACAAACAAGGCCAGTAGGAATATTAGAGTCGGAATGATCTATTTCAGTCATAATCTGCAAAGTTTTCGCATCAAAATCCACAAGAACTCCCTGTAGGTCAGGAATGAATTTGTTAATATGAGAAGTAACATACTGAAGAAGACACTGTGTCATTTGTTTAAAATTTATTGGATATACAGGTACACAGAAGGACCATGTACGACTCTCCATTTGCCTTGTTCTGAGAATAAAAATATGAGAATCATAAAACTGTATTCAACTGATTTACAACAATAATCTAAGGTCATAAACAAAATGATGATAAAATGTCAACAATATTGTGAAATTGCGAAATTTAGAATAAGACGTAACCCAGACAAACGGACAGCTAATAAGGACCAACACTATTTTTCGTCATACAGTATATATTAATTACCAATTATATATTTCACTCTATGCATGGGACTACAGCAAATATGTAATGCTGAAAATTAACATAAAGCGGTCAGCAAAGACATTTACTTCTCAATTAGATCCCTATCGCTGGCTCTACTGAAATTTATATATATATATACTTGAATTTCTCGACTTCCCTATTGGAACATGGGACTTCAAGCTAGAGGCTTGAAGTTTCGGTGGCAGTGGTGTTAATTTTTCGGATAGGGTTGCTAGACTTATATGAAAGATTCCCTTTTTACCAGTGTTATTACTGGCATAGCGAAGTAAAGGAGTGCGTCGGCCGGGGATCGAACCGCGGAACACCTGCGTGATCGGCGGGCATTCTACCACTGTGCCACCGACAGATATATATATATATATATATATATATATATATATATATATATATATATATATTATACAGTACAAAAGATTTTACCAACATGCCGGCGATAAATCCAGAAAAGATTTCTTAAAGTCCTTTGAACAATCGGATTCAAGTTGTTGTAAAAGGTAAAGAGAAGAAACATGCTGAATTATTACAAAGCCAGGAAAGCAAAACTCCTGAGACGTGATTTCCTCTAAACCCTGATCGGTATGTCTATAATTTTTCCGATGTTCTAGATGAGATAGACTTGCAAGCAGTATCTCTTGGCCCAAAAAATTTTGTGTTTATCATGTTAGAATTGATAAAATGGATACGCCAAATCGGTTTGAAAACCTGATACCTTCCTCAATTGAGGCAGCTGAAAGACTTAAATCGACTCTCGCCTATTGATGCTATAAATATACGAATTACGAACGGAAATCAATTGGTATACTGACCAAAAACCATAGGGAAGTGATAAATAAACTGACGAGAAGTGAGAATTGCATCATTACCAAACCAGATAAAGGTTCTGCAGTGTTGATTACGAATGAGACGAAATACACAGACAAGATAGTACACTAAGAGGGAGTGTGTATAGGGAACCTACAACAAGTTAGTACACTCATTTTTTGAGTTTCGCACCTTTGAAATATAAACGCAACTTGATAAACCGTTTGGTTCACAGAGCCAGGGTAATCTACTCAATCAACTCTCTAAGTGAGGAGCTTAGGATTCTCAGAAAATCACCTCATAAAATGGTTATCTGGACAAGTTCACTGAGCTTGATATGAGATTTGCCATTGTCAAATGTAAGATGATACAATTGGACTCATCTCAGTCCACTTCTAGCCCAAAGATAGGCAGTTAGATAGCTAAGCGTATTCACCACCCCACTTATTTGGGAAGTTGCATCAGTCCTAATTGACGGTCTGATCACGAAACCTCACAACAGGGGAATAGGTGGCAAAAGGCAAATGATAAGTGAGACAATCTCCGAGAAAATAGCATCATAATTAGTTCTCAAGATAGACGACTACAACGTGGAAAAGAAAACGTTGAGGAGTAATTTAATTGGTTTACAGCCACGCTCAACTTACTGGGCATCCAATACCTCACTGAATAGGATATAAACATAAGTCCACCATCCCTGACTGACGTTAGAAAAGCTGTCACTAGTCTCAAACGAGGCAAAGCAGCGATACCTAATGGAAGGCCTTCAGGGATGTTTAAGGATGGTAAAGACAGTTTACTGTCAGACCGATATAAGAATAGAACTTGTGCACTATGTAGAGTATAATTCAATAGGAATGACTAATCACTAACACCAGATATATGGAAAATACTACTACCAATCAACTCAAGGGATGAAAAATAGTGAAATTACTTACACGACGCTTGAGGTTGTGTGAGCAACTTGACACGATTATGACCAATAAATTGTTCTCACAACGTCATCAGTAAATAATTCTGTATCACACTGAGACCATAGTTGACTAATCGTGTTAACTACGGTACTAGGCAGCTTCTGGGAATCAGAGACAGTCCAGTCGACCTGGTGTAAGTCATAAATTATCCCGATATACAAGAAGGCAGACAAGTCTCCCTGTGATGATAACAGGGAGATTAGCTTGACCAATTCGGTATCTACAGTTATGGGCTCAATAATAATCTTTAGACCAAGCGGTCAACGAGAGGAACAAACACGAGAAAACAAGGTAGACTATAGACCAGAAAGAGGGTGTATTGACCATATATTCACCCTCCGACAGATTCTAGAACGGGACATACACATACTTACTGGCCTACAACAATCATTATTGAAAACATTTATTTCCCGATACGAATTTAAAACAAGCAATAAAGGTTAATAAAGCAGGATTTAATGAATTCATCAAATTTCGGTAGAACTCGTCAGCTGAATACTCTACATACACGAATATATATACTTTTGAAATTACATTGGGAGATATAAGACTGATAAGTTGAATACTCTACATACACGAATATATATACTTTTGAAATTACATAGGGAGATATAAGACTGATAAGTAAACAAACTACATTGAATTAATCATGCAGAGAGACAGGTGCGAATATTTTTCAGGTCATGTTCAAATAGACAAGGGGAGAGAGAGAGTATGAGAGATCAAAATTAAGATAAATTGCATTACGCTTCAATTACATCACTTAGATAAACAATTAGTCATTAGGGAATATAACGAGAATTGCAAACAGACTAATATCAATAGTAATAGTTTTAATAACAATAATAATAATAGTGTTGAAGTGAGTTAAGATAATCTTACGGATAAAGCATAGATTTAAATGAATCAAGAATAATAATAATAATGGTAGTAATAATAACAAAAATAATAATAAGAAGAGGTAGAATAATAGTAATAACAAGTAGAGAATAATAAGTAAAGCGTATTACCATGGTAGATTCAGAGTGACGACCATCTCCTTTTGTATACAGAGAGCTGGTTTGTAAATTCGAATTGCACAAGCCTCTGCAATTGCAAGCATCTTTTTGTTTCTTTGTTTACTGACAGCGTCGATATCATGTCCGTAATCCACGAGATGTTTTGTTATTGAGGATTTTGGGACTTTGCACTCAGCTGTTTTCAACCATTTTGGCAAATGCTCCATCATGCGAGTAGACAATCGCCTTTCCGTACGACCTATGTATTTGCTGCCACAAACACACTCAAATTGATATATGCAGTTTGAAGTGTCGAGGATTGGCGACAAAACTCGTTATCCTTAACACCACCAAGCGAGTGCTTCAACAATCTGGAAAGACCAGTCGCCAATCCTCGACACTTCAAACTGCATATATCAATTTGAGTGTGTTTGTGGCAGCAAATACATAGGTCGTACGGAAAGGCGATTATCTACTCGCATGATGGAGCATTTGCCAAAATGGTTGAAAACAGGTGAGTGCAAAGTCCCAAAATCCTCAATAACAAAACATCTCGTGGATTACGGACATGATATCGACGCCGTCAAGTCATTCACCATCGTCAGCAAACAAAGAAACAAGAAGATGCTTGCAATTGCAGAGGCTTGTGCAATTCGAATTTATAAACCAGCCCTCTGTATACAAAAGGAGATGGTCGTTACTCTGAATCTACCATGGTAATACGCTTGACTTATTATTCTCTACTTGTTATTACTATTATTCTACCTCTTCTTCTTATTATTTTTGTTATTATTACTACCATTATTATTATTATTATTATTCTTGATTCATTTAAATCTATGCTTTATCCGTAAGATTATCTTAACTCACTTCAACACTATTATTATTATTGTTATTAAAACTATTACTATTGATATTAGTCTGTTTGCAATTCTCGTTATATTCCCTAATGACTAATTGTTTATCTAAGTGATGTAATTGAAGCGTAATGCAATTTATCTTAATTTTGATCTCTCATACTCTCTCTCTCCCCTTGTCTATTTGAACATGACCTGAAAAATATTCGCACCTGTCTCTCTGCATGATTAATTCAATGTAGTTTGTTTACTTATCAGTCTTATATCTCCCTATGTAATTTCAAAAGTATATATATTCGTGTATGTAGAGTATTCAACTTATCAGTCTTATATCTCCCAATGTAATTTCAAAAGTATATATATTCGTGTATGTAGAGTATTCAGCTGACGAGTTCTACCGAAATTTGATGAATTCATTAAATCCTGCTTTATTAACCTTTATTGCTTGTTTTAAACAATCATTATATTTATTCACCTGACAGTGCAATCTCACCCCATCCACCGAGATGTACTATGGCGATGTTTGGCTGTGAATGAGGGAATACCGAGACAATACATCGCATTGATCAACGCACTCACTCTACTCGAACTCATGCAGTCAGTCAGGCGACAGCCTCCGAAGAGTTGTCATCTGAAGTGGTGACAACCACTGGTGTCCGTCAGGGATGCCCACTGTCCCCATTTCTCTTCAATTTCATCATTGATGAACTACTAATGGACTCAACCCCAATTGACTTCAGTGACTCAGGCACTGACATGTCACCATCAAGAAATAATCTCGTTGACTTAGAATATGCAAATAATATAGTGCGTCGGTGGCACAGTGGTTGGGACTTTCGCCGACCAAGCACATGGTCCGAGGTTCGATCCCCTGCCGACGCACAACTGATATCTATGGTCGGCCTCCAAAATTTGGGCTACCGATGTCCATGCTGAAAATTCCATACTTGTACCAAAAATACGGTGTGGCATCAAGCTGCAATCAAAAATATAAAAAAAATTAAACAAAAATATAGTCCTACTCCTATCCTAGGTGAAGATGCTGACAAAATTCAGTCTTCCGAACACCTTGAGCAGCGATCTGCGCATGTCTGGCATGCGATTCGCTCCCGTCAAGTTGATGCAAGATTATGCTACAGGACTACAATACAATGACTGTTACGTTAGAGATAGCGAGTCAAGCGGTTCATGGAGAGTGATGAACACTCCACTCATTTGGGAAGTTGCATCAGCCAACGTCAGCTGATGGAACGCTGACCAAATCTCACCTCGGATACAAAAGGCTCGTTCGGCATTCGCCAACATACGCCATCTCTCACGTAGACTTGACATTCGGCTACCGACCAAAGACCGTGTGTACTGATCAACAGTTCGCTCCGTCCTCATTTATGGCTGTGAGACCTGGCCATTGAAAGTGGAAGAAGAAGTGGAGAAGCTGGCCAGCTGTCTTTGATGATAGGTGCCTGAATTCGATCTCCCGTGTGAAGTGGTATAATAAGGTAGGCCATATTGAGGTTAGGCATCGGTCTATTGCTGGGTAAGGAGGGGAAATCAATCGATGAGGTTGTGAAGTTACACCGATTGAGATGGTTAGGACGTGTGTTACTCATGCCTAGCCTTCGATCGCCTTCCTAGACAATCGGAAATGTTAGCTGACATAGGATGAATCAGGTTGGAAAAGAGTCAAATTAGTGCTAGTCAAACCAAAACATGCCTTCATCAGTCAATGAAATCCACAGCAGTTAGTTTAAGCCAGTCACGTAGGGAGGTGTAGACTGGCTGGTTGGTCGGGGTCCTCGAGATGATGAAAACCAATGACAGTTGGTGACAATAGGTGATATGACTCGAAATCGTTCTCAGTGGCGCAGATCCATTCACTCCCTGTGTTTTATAATATCCAATAAAATTCTACTGTTCTTCCACATTCTTATTATTATTGTTATTTTTGCCTCATATTTCTGTCTCTTATATCTCTGGTTAATCTCTCTTCTCTGGTTTTCTGTGCTACATGGAATGTGGCGACTCGAACTGCTTCACATCTGTGCAAGGTCCTACGTTGAAGCTAGTCACTCAGCTCAAATACAAAAGTCTCATTTGTATCTGCCAACTGACCTCACTCCTCACACAAACATGACCTCTGTTTATCAATCAAAGGAGGTTTATACAACACAGAAGGTAACAAAATTCTTCTCTAACGCTCTGAATCGTGGCCATCGGAAGTACAAGACGTCCGTCTCTATGTGTTAGTTTTTTTCTTCCTCTATTAAGCTGTACAAAATTGCAATATTGACGTTGGGTTTAGTTTTATTTAAGGGTAAAATGTTCATCGATGAGTTTGTGAAGCCACATTGACTCTGGTGGTATGAGCGTATGACGATTTTCTCAACCTAACACTTTCTTTGTTAAGAAATGATATCTGATATAATATTAAATTGGGCGAAGTCCAACAATAGCGTTCCAGGAGTTTGACAGCTATAATGATCTTGAACGCATTCAAGTCGTTGGCTAACATACCTGTCATTATCATAACTGAAATGTCAACGTTATTCAACAAACAAGGAGCAAACTTCACCCAGATAAGCGTTTTTGTAAGTCATACCATAACAGGGTATCAATTCATGAAATTTCTTTTCGGTTGTCTGCAGCTATTCACATAGAAAGGTGTTAACTGCCTCGTCGGAGTCGCTAAGATGGTAAGAGCCAATGATTAGCATCGCTTAAAATAAGTCACCTTTTGTAATATCTGAAGTCATTTTAACCACCACAGTGAATTCTAATGCCATGGTATGTGTTGTGTCCATATTATTACAACACAGGATGTCTACATCTTATGCTCAAAAGGCCGTATTAAGAACAAATGATATTATGGCACGTAAAACATTTTTATTCAGTTTAAGTGATTTGAGTTTAAAGTTCTAAACAGAACTCCTAACACACTAAAAAACACCCGGTCTATACTAAGCGATTACTTCAGGGTGGGCCTAGATAGACGACTTTTATATCCACCAATGCAACCTGCCTCAAATATGAGATTTAAGGCCTCCAGTCTATTCTTAATCACGATGTGCGATTTGTGTGAGAACATACTCGAAAAACAATAATCGCAGTTTACTATATGAAACGACCAACCAGTTTAATTAGTTCACCTTCAGAAGACTAAGTACAAAACATAATTCTGAATGACAGAAGTGACGAACATCAGAAAAAACCCTCAAATTGTGTAATCCTGAGGTTCTGTTCTGCCTAATACCTTATAAATACGATGAGATTTAGAAGTTTTTTATTAACTTTGAATGATTATAATAAAATGCCAGATTTATCAAAAGTCAGCCGAGAATAGGAAAACATCCTAAGTCCAACCATGCTTACATGTAGCGTTAACATTACACAACGCGGCAATGCTATCAATATCCAAAATCGTTTTTACGAGCTAGTATAAACCAATTTGATTTCTTTGTGCTCGCTTCTTGATTGTAAGGTATAGGTTCATGATCTTCGGTAAACTTCTGTGTAGCTCGTCCCGCCACTCGACTGTCATAGCTGTGGTTGACTCCGAAGGGAGTAGTTCTGGGATTAATTATATATGGTTTGTAGTATGAGGTGTGTTAAGACTGTTACTACTGTGAATGGAGTTGATCCTTTCGCCAGTTAGTCCTTCGGTATCGTCGACAAGAGAAAAGAGTAATAATAATAGATATAATTAGTTAAGTTATTCAGACTAAGAGACAGAAAAGGAAATAGGAAAGCGTAACAACAGTCAGCTGATTAAGTTTGAAGAATAATTTATATATATATAGGTAATAATAATAATAGTAATTATAATATTGATAAGTTGTCAGGAGAGTAAGACGGGAGAGAATGTAAAGAAGTAAAAAGACGAGTTTAATTGTCTACCGCTGAATGGTGTATGTGATTTTAAGGAGATAGGCCATTTGGATGCAGTCCTTGTATCGCTATATGGTTGTCCAGACTCCGCTTAAAGGCGTCCAAAGACGGTGCCATAGCTACGTCTGCCGGTAAGGAATTCCAGGGACGGCAACCCGCAGTGAAAAGAAGTGGGAGCGCACTCGAGTCCTTGCCTTCAACATCCAATACTTATGTTGTGGACTAATACGAACTAAATTAATCTGTATATTTTTATATGTTGACGCAGAGGGATCGGCCTCAAATATCTGGTATACTTTCTGAGTCTTGACCACCACAACTCCAAGAGTAGTTCACACCTAACTTAATTTGACTGGGAGTCATATAAAAATTATGAGGCTGGTCTTACCGTGATCGTTTCTTTTAGAATTTGAGTATTCTGCTTAGCGGTGGTGAATAACGGCTATTGAAATGATGACAAATTAATGAGGAACTCATCGTTATCTAATAGAAGCTGAATGAAGGCTAATTGTGGATTACCTACTTACACGTTATCGAGCTGAATGACGATGACTTGAATGATGTTGAAAGTATAGCCACGCTGTCGTACGCACCACATTTAGTGCCAACAAATCATACCGTCTTTGCGTAAGGACATCGTCCCAAATGGTAGTGTAGAGGAAACAAGGAAGAAATGGTTGTATAGACACGACCGAGGATATCGTCTTAGAACTAATAATCACACTGGATGTTCATACACCTAAATAACGGTAATTTTTATAAGCTGTAAGTGATTCCCATGTAAGAAAACGAGGGTTATGGGTGAAAATTTAATGCGGCGTACACTTCTGAGAGGTGCGCAGCGCTGAGATAAATTCAAATAACTTGAGACTAAACGACTATGTATTGATTATATATAACTCTGTTGTTACACAAGAAGTTTGTTGCCACTAATGAGCCAAATGTATGAGTTTGCAAGTTTTGAGGCCACTAGAAACAAACAAGTAATCAACTCAACGTGGAAGATGGAGTCTGGTCACTGAAGTAGATGACTTAAAAGAAGTGGATTTCATACACAAATTAAAAAAGGATAAGTAATTTTAATTAAGTATTTGCCACTGTGTACCACCACGAAAAATCCCTACAATTTCTTAACTGGCTGTCTTACAGATAGTATCTGTTTGGAACACAACTTCCAGATATCGTTTCTTTTCTGCAGATGCAATCATAAGCATAACAATGACTTATACTAAAGATTACAACATTTAACTGCGAAATAAGAATAAGTGGATGATTAGTATTTTAGTTTTCACTTTAGAACCACCCTGAAGGCTCCGTTGTAGTCAGTTGCAGCGCAAAAGCTAAGCAAAGCAAAATAGATTGTAGCATAAAACCATCAGCGAGAAGGTAGAAATAAAACTGTAAGAGAAAAGTTTCGTTGTTCCGAATAGTATGCAACCGATTATATTGACGGAAAACAGTTAAGAACCATGTGCAAGCGACAATAAGCGTCAGTTAGCACCAAAATTAATATCAGATAAGTTTAAAAGAACAGCACAAAATCTATGAATTCGTGGATTTCATAGTGGGCAAGTGTAACGCTGATGGCTGAAAATCACTCATTTCCGCACAGCTGTGGCTTTGAGTCGCAATGGTATATTCTGTTATGGGAATTCAATATTTGAGAGTATAAGCGTGCCAGCTTCAAAGACACTCAGCACACGAATCCACAAGCTTATGCTACTGCGGGAAGACCAATAGGCATAAGCATTGCAACCAACTTAAAAATATGAGGAGACAAATCGCGAATTCGGGGATCATATGTTGTGCCATCCTTAGTAAATCAAGACTTTCGTCAACTTTTAGAAGCAGGTGATTCCCAAACTTTATTGCCCATAACATTTATCACTCAAAATTGGGTGCTGGCCCTCACTTTTTAAGCTGACTTGTTTAGCTGAAGGCTCGCAGTCAAGCATCCATGCTATTTGGCCAGCTGTTTGTTACATCCAATTGTTAGTGCACGATCACTAGCAGGTTAAGCTATTATCCTCGCACTACGATTTTGGCCCGAAAATATACTTCGTAATTTGGGCGATCATTTTTGTGTTTCGACTTGCCTTTGGTCTACGCGGAACAAGTTCTATGGGGGTCGTGGGTACAAGAACTTGCGTTAGTATACTCCATACTATCTGTGAACCTTAACACCCTCAGACTGTAAACACCGAGACTTCGACGATCAATTTCACAACTGTGGCCTTGGTTTCAGTTTCAATCTTTTTCATTTAGGGAATACCTGCACAATAAACTGTATGTTTTTTTTTATCATTTCTATGTTTTGCAACCCATTTTGAGTCCTTTGCTATCTTGTTGCTTATCAATTGTCTCTAAGAGGTTATGCATCACTAAACTAATAAGCTGTCAACCCTATCGATTATGTCGGACCATTCCTAATTTTTCAATCGCAATTATCACTCATACACTCTGATTTATTTTTCCGCCAACTTACAAAAAGCTATGACCTATGTCGCCAGTTTACACTATGTCTATAGGCCTCAAAATGGCTGTATAGCTTTAAAGCGGAGCTACGGAAAAATATTTCTTTGCTGACATGTGTTCTTATCCATATAACGATTAATTTATTTATCCGCTCTAATCGAATCACATTGTGGATATTCGGGTTCTCAAGGGACAACAGCGTAGTACTTGCTTTATAGTGTGAGTGAGGACCGCTTCACACACACACATAATCGTTAGTAAGTACATCCTAGGCGTGACCACTGTACAACAGTCGCGAGTGAGGAGGATTATTATAAGTAGATACAGAGACATTTTATAAAGTTATATTTGTAAAATCTCAGCGAAATTGAAATGATTGATTCCAACGTTTCGTTCGGCAATCTGGTCCGAACTTCTTCAGGGAAATTAATCGAAATTAGCATAAAGTTTATATATGTATGCAGCATATGCATATATATTTTAACAAAAGCAGACAAATTTTGAAAGTCTGAGGTCAAAACGTTTTTGATCATAGTTCATACAATTTTTGTTTTGTTTTGTTTAGTATACCTATTGATTCATATTTAAAAATAAGAGATGTACTTTTATATAAACATACAATTCTATTTATTTATTTATTATACATATTGATAACTGTTGATGACTCATGATTGGACAAAAATTTCAAAAAACAAGAGGTGTCCCTTTATATATAAACTTTGTTATGTTAATTTCGATTAATTTCCCTGAAGAAGTTCGGACCAGATTGCCGAACGAAACGTTGGAATCAATCATTTCAATTTCGCTGAGATTTTACAAATATAACTTTATAAAATGTCTACTTCTCACTCAGCGCTCAATTATTTTGCAACCATCCGGTCCAATCTTGATCACAGTTCGTATGAATAGAGACAGAGGCATTCCCTTCGAATTTCCTGACCATGTATTTCGAGAAGAACCTTTCCCACCTTTGGTCAACAAGTCGTGTGTAATCCTAAATTCATCATCAGTCATACTTTTTGAACAGAGATTTGACCCTGTAACTTAGGATCATTACCAAACGTCTTTTGTACTGGAGGGAAACGAGCTATGGAAATATGTATGGCGTCTCGTCAATGTAATTTTCGCGTGTAAATTTCTTTTCATACCACTATTTGACTTTGCGAGAAAGACACCTAAATATCCAATTTCCTATCGACATTCTACCTCTGACGATTTGACAAGGGGGTATGCCTATTGGAGTCATTTTCACAAATGACGAACGTGAAATTAATATATCGATAACAAAGTGAGAAATTCCCGATAGTGTTATTTAATGGATCATTTTCTATTTGAGTGGGAAAGAAGTGTGTCAACAGGGAACCCAATGGGGGGCACACTCCTACTTCATCAACCTGTCCGAAGGGTTCTCCGTCGAATTTCACTATTCGACCCAGATGGAGTCATTGAGTTGCGAAAGAATTTGGTTACTAAACTGGGTTGCAGGCACGGATTGTTGGCGGTAAATTAGTGTTCCACCTCCACGACCTGTCTGTCTGTCCCCTAGAAAAAGGTTGTAATTTCACTTGATGACAATATCTCTAATATTACATACTATCTGAAATCCTGTTTTGAAATCTGCTGTCCGGAATCTGGAATCCGGAACGCAGCAACTGCGGTTATTATAATGTAATGTATTTCATACAAATTTAAAAAAAATTTACATGAAAATGCATGCCCTTTTTTACAGACACGATCAAGTAAGATATAGTCTCAAATCTCAGATTGTCTACAAGTTAATCATATTTCAACTGTTAAACATTTGATACATATAATACACTCATTGTCTGAACTAGGCCGTATAGTTGTTGAATTGTAAGCAATAATAAACTCAACCAACCATTTTCCCCAAGTTCACTCAACCTGCCCTTATCCCTAATCGTACCACTATTCACTACACTCTACTCAGTAGAATATGACTTAATTTGCTCCGGTGCTCAAAACTCTTCTACCCTTTACTTTTTAAAAAAAGACGTTTTAACTAATAACTGCACAGTAGCCGTTTAACTAACTCACTGGTTTCCTCTTCACTGTAATCTTCAATAAGT